AAGAACGTACGTATTTATTAATTATATATATATATATATATATATATATATAAAACTATGATATGACTAAACAGTCATTAATAGCAAAAAAAATATAATAATTTGATGTTTGGTTAAATTTTATTTTATGATATTATTTTTTAACTTTTTTGTGTCTTTTAATATATAATATCTATAAATATTAGCATAAAAAATTCAATTGTACAAAAATATATATCTAAAAGTGTTTTTTGCATAATCGAGTTTTGATTCAACTTTGACGCCATATTGACTTTATCTATAGTCCGTTCAATTAATTAAGTCAATGGATGTAAACAAATGCACGTGGGTGAATCATTTAGGCGAATCAGATCAAAATTTGACTATATATATATTTTATTTATTCTTATGATTAAATGTAAGACTGATTTAGATTATGATTAAATTTTATAATTTTATAAATTTTATTTTTATGATAATTTAGCTTATAGTTAAATATCCTAAAATGTCTTAAATGCGAGTTTAATATTACGAATATATATTAATTAATAATATTATAATAATAATAATGATAATATTTTTGAAAGACAATAAATATTAAATGTCGTATTATGAAATAACTTGGTAATTTATGTAATTTTTGTAAAAGAGCAGATCTTTATATTTTATTGATTAAAATATAACAATTCTTATTTTCTAAATTCATATATAAATTTTAAAATTTTGATTGATAATTATATATATATCATAAATGATTATATCATCATTTTAAGTAAATAATATTGCATAATAAATATTATCAAGTACAATTACGAATTTTTTAAAGTATGATTATGATGTCATTATATATGTTATGAAAATGTCATATGATTATATATGCATAAATTGATCAATCATTTTATATTAAAAATAACATTAAATGATTGAAGTACTATAATTGTGAAATGTTTTTAACTATATTAATTTACTAGACTATAAAATCAAACTATGAAACTAATACATTTTTTAGAAAGCATTTTCAGGAAACCAAATTTTTTTATAATATAACAAACAATAAATAGTATGATTTTACATCGTTACGAATAAAAATTTTTATTTATGTATAAATATTTATTTATGCTCATGTATTTAATAGTATTGATAATTATATAAAAATAATAAATTATAATTATAAAATTAAAAAAAAATCATAATGAATGAAATAATTGAAGACATTTGTTATTTCAAAGAATGATCAATATCATTTTGATCAATATTATAGCTACTAGCACTGGTAGAAAATTGTAATATTTGTTTTTTTGTCTTTATAATAATGTTATTTATTAATTGATAATTTGTTTCTTTTTTTATCATCTCAGGTTACTTCATATGGCCATAATACAAGGTTATATGGAAGCTACATTCAACTTGATAAAAATGGCACCACATTCATGCCTTTTAAATATCCAAAATGATGATGGTCAGACACCTTTACATTTGGCTGTATTGACACAACAACCAAAGATCGTCAGGCGATTAATTCTGGCAGGTGCAAATCCATCGCTGAGAAGTTTTCGTGGAAACACGCCGCTTCATCTAGCATGTACGACCGGTGATCTTACCTCGGTAAAAGCTCTCATTGATCCAATAAATTCCATGGAAAAGAATTACTTTCATGCTGGAGAAAAAATACAAATTCTATCACAAGATCTGGAACAACGAAATTATAATGGTAATTGATTGATTTATAATTACAAAAAATACTTTAAATAATATAATTCTTATTAAAATAATATCCTTATTAAAAAATAATAAAAAAGGAGCATACATTATATGTAACATTATATTTTTTGAAAAAGAAAGGAAATAATAATATGCATGTAATATTGCTTACAGAAAAAATAACAAAGTATATCGGAAAATCCTAATAACTTTTACCACATAAAATAACAGTCATTGGCATAGCTCTCGCGCACGCGTAGCATGAAAAACAATCCTGTAACCGTGATTATGCGCGGGTTTCCCATGATTTCATCGAGAATCGAGAATCATCCGTTATTTCAATTGTTTTGTTCGGAAATTCCGTGAAGTCAAAGTACAATGCATTCGACGATTCATTTTGTTTTACTCATTTACTTTAAAATAATAATAATAATAATAATAATATCTTTTGAGAACATCTGAATTTCCAAGTAATCTTCACATGATTTATAATTTAAAAGTAATTTTTTTTTCGATCACTATTCAAATGATAATTTGTATATATTAAAGGAAAGTTAAGTTAAATACTTTTTCTATTGTTCTTCTCACTTATTATATTTTTTGCAGTTTCAAATATAATATAAATGATCAGTTTCTTTATATTTTTTGATTTCATATGTTAAGTAAAACTTATAAATAATTATAATAATTATTGAATGAACATTACTGAACATTAAGTCATTTACGAAATTCTGGAATTTCCACATAACGTCATCCTTATACTCCATTCTGACTTATATGTTTTATAGTTATTTATGAAATGGCGTAACGGTTAATTTTGAATTACGAAATAAAGCTTTTATTTCAGAATAATTTTGATAAATTTACTGATTTTCGTAAATTGTATCATATCTTAAAATATGATTTAAATTTTGATAATGAAAATTATATGCTTGAACTTATAAGTTTAGATTAAAAAGAAATTACATATACGATTTTGAAATATACATATATAATCTTAGAATAGAACAATATCATTTAATTTTGAAAAAAGAAAATCAATTATATTCAATACAATATTTTTCGAATAATAAAAAATATTTAGATGTCATATTATTTATTTTTTCTTTTCTTATCTGATATAATATATATCTGTATATTTAGTATTTAATAAGAATAAAAATAAATATTTGCGTGACGATGATAGATATATGAAATCTTTTGTTGCAAAACGTTTTCAATTATAATAAAATTAATAGTTACATAATTAAATATTATGTATTTATAGCATTTCTTTTGATCAATATAAATTTTTTTTAATGAAATTTCATTATTTGAGCTAATAAATTTCTAATTAAACCACCGACTGCTTTTTAGAATTATCTTCTAAAAGTATGTGATTTGTCATTATGTTTATCCTCATTGAAATTAAAAAAAATAGAATAGTATTTGTTATTATCAAAATATTTTTTTCAAACCCTTTTTACGTATTTAATATATTTATATATAATATTTTCTATGTTTCAGGACAAACATGTTTACACATTGCGGCTTCATCAGATCAAGTAGAACTCGTACGACTTCTAGTACATCGCGGAGCAGATCTCAATACTAGAGAAGGATTAGCAGGACGAACGGCTCTTCACCTTGCTATGCAATATAGATGCCGATCGGTGATTGCGTTCCTCCTTCAAGAATGTAGATTTTCTTTAGATACAAAAACTTATCGTGGAGAGACTGCGTACCAATTAGCTTTACATGTTGATAGACAACTTGCAAGAGAATTAGTAAGATTAGGAGCAATACCAGAACCACTTCCTGAATCAGATTCGAATAGCAGTGATGAAGATGAAAGTCCTGCAATAATTTATATATCTCAGGCATAATTGTTGTGAAAGGATAGAAACACTCATCAAATCTTTGACAAACATTTCAATTCTGTTTGTTATGCAATCGAAATTTAATATATATATATAATATATATAATTATATATTATATATTATATAATATATATATATATATATATATATAATTGATTAAAATCAAAAAATTGCTATGAACGATATATATATATATATATTTATGTATATGTATCGTTAGATTTGAAATGGTTTGTAACATATCATGATATGTAACATAGGATAATTCGAACTTTATTGAGTTCAAATATTAATTAATAAATTAAATATATTTTATTTACTTAAAATGAAATTAGTGTGAAATGTATTGTAAAAAGAGAATGAAATAATACACTATAAAACGAAGTTAGATCACTATAGAGAGAAACAAAAGTCTTGAATATTCTTAATTGTGCCTCTATGAGGAGTAATTAAAAAAATTCATTAACAAAGAAAAACGAATATCGATCGTTGTAAAATATATGAGATGCAAATAATTCATATTTTAGGATCTCGCTCTGTAAATATAAATGAAAATATTACATATTTTTGATTGAATGATGTGAAAACGTATTAAAGATGTGTATGTTTGGATGTGTTTTGATGAAAATGAAAGAAATCTAATAAAAGAAAATACAAAAGATAGTATAATAATACATAATAAAACATTCATAATTTCATAATTCTTTTTAATATGTACATACATATATTTATATTAAGTAAATTAAGAAACCAAAATGACACTTATGAATAGGATTATTTTTCAAAGAACATAATTTATTTGCATATTACTAGAGCAAAATATTTCGATACTATACTAAACATTTACTATTTTTCATTGATGTTTTCTCTATTGTATATAGTCAAGTTTTATTATCTTAGTATATTTTAAATATATTGTTTTTAATTATTTTTATAGCATCGAAATAAAACGACGATATTATTCTTGTTATACTTGATAATTATATTTTTAGTAATAAAAAGTTTTGAAGAAAGTTCATCATCAATTTTAGAATTTTTTATTAAAATTTGAAATGATGAACAAGTAAGAAATATCAATAAATACTTTCCATTCGATTTAATTTAATCTCATGAAAATATAATAGAAAATGAAATATTATAGCATTAATCTTGTAAGAATTGATATAAAATTTGTAGGAATTGAAAAAATATGAAATAAGAACTAATTCTTAATTATTTTGAATTCATAAAGTTATAATAATTTAAGCATTTTAAAAAGTTTATAAATTCATTTGTTTTTGAACAAATTTAATTTGCGAAATACATAGATTTTGGAATATGAAAAAAAAAGAATTTTATTAATTATTTTAACAATCTTTTAAATATAAGTAAATAATCTTTTAATTATGTATAAATTTATATAAAATTATATATATAAATATATCTTAATATAAAAAAATGCAATAATTTAAGATATATTTCTTATTTTTTTAATACAATATAAAAATACTTTTAATATATACAAAAAATAATTTTGAATATAATATCGCAGTTATCGCGGTTGTGAATGAAATGAATAGTTGGGATTCCCCAGTTATTTCATTCTGTTAATAGAAATACCAGACTTTTATGACATGCCAAATCAAGCAACCTTGCATATGAAAATACAAAGTAACTGATTTTTTTAATAGTCAAAATTGTTCATATATATTTATTTGAGTTCAAATTATTATTTTTTTCATCTTTTTTTAAACATTCTTTCACATTTAAATTAAACAATTTATTAATTTCTACATTTTATTATTTTAATATATATTATAACTTCATGTTTCAAAATTATAATAATAAATCAATCAAAATATTAAAATAAAAGTAAAATCTATTAAGGAAAATCTAAATTATATAATTTAAAGACTATATATATATATATATTAATTTAACAAAAATTAGCAAAGAGATATAAACATAATTAAAATATTTAAAAATAAAAAAATAATTATAAATTTTAATAAAAAAATATTAATTATAAATTGTACATGGAAAAATCATATATATGAAAAATATAAATCATAATATTAGCAGAAGTTAACAAAATAATAATACATACAATAAACATAGCAACAAGCATATATGTATATATATGTACATAAGATACAAAATAAATTTAATATTTAATGAAAGAAATAGTAGGAAAAAAAAATAGAATAAAAATTCAGAAATATGCTATTTTTAGAATATTGCAAATGAAACAAGTATAATAAGAACAAATTGCGAAATAAAGACAAAGATATAATAAAAATTGAAGAATTAGTGCAAATTTCACAAATGAAAGATATAAATAAAGTGATCAAATAGTAAAAAAAGGATAGAAATAAGATAAAAATTGATTATGAACATCATCTCTTCAGTATCAATGATATTTTTTGAGTATTTTTAGAGTAGGATAAAATAAAATTGAGGATTAGCGTTTTCTTTTCATAATTTTTGAATATTTTTGGTATTCAAATCATGATACTGATTTTCGATTTTTATTCTACTTTATCTTTAAAGAAATATCTCTAACACTTAACAGATGGCATTAATGGTTATTTCTTATTCTATTTCTATCCTTCTTTTATTATTTCCTCTCTTTGTTTATGTTTGTTTCGTTTATGACATACTAGAGATGGCGTTGATTCCCAAATTTTTATTCTATTTTTGTCCTTTTCTCACTATTTGTCCTATTAAATGTTAGGTCTATTCTGTAGTTCAACTCTGATATATATATATTGTAAAGCAAAATATGCTAAAAGAATATAGTATCGCTTGAACTAAAAATGAAGTTAAGTTTGAATTCATGTTATACATAAAAAAAGTATATACATTTTCGAAGGTACTAGAAAATTGTAGAACATAATCACGGGAAGACATTACGTATAACTAGTTTCACTGTAATCAAGAAGTGGCGCTAGTTGTCCATTTCTGGAGCTTTCTGAAAATCTGCGCCGGCTCAAGAGTGTGCATTCACGAGTCATCACGTATCTTTGCAAGCATAAAAGAACGAGTTGCGAAAAATAGAACGAAAGTATCATTGTTCTGAAGTCAATCGTAATGGACCAGGTAAACATTCTTATCATGTCGATTGCCATTATATATTTCGTAAGGTTAAAAGCACTGTGTTTATTCACGATATCATCCATTGAACACGCTTTGCTTTAAAAATTGTCTTGCTTGTCTTATTGCTTCCTGCAATATTTTTCTCGCACATTCTATTAGGTTGCTTCTAAGAACATTAATTCTTGTTTTTTTATTTCATTTTTTGTTTCGAAATTATAATTATTTAGATTTATACAACGGAAAATTCGAGATGTTGTAATTAATTAGATGATTTTTTCATTTTAAATTTTTTTTAAAAAGAATATTATTTATATTTTTATTTTTTGTTAGTATTTGTCTTTTTGGGTTCTAATTGTATATTTAATAATACCAAATTATTAAATATGTGCAGGTATATTTACTGAAACAAAAAGGTAATTCTGCTTTAGAAGAAGGAAGATATGAAGAAGCTATTAAACATTATACAGAAGCAATTGGCTTAGATGAAAATAATCATGTTTTATATAGTAATAGATCTGCAGCTTTTGCTAAAGCAGGAAAATATAAACAAGCATTAGAGGATGCTGAAAAAACTGTGAATTTAAAACCTGATTGGGGAAAAGGATATTCACGTATGGGTAGTGCACTAGCCTATCTAGGTAAATTAAATGAATCTATTAAAGCATATGAAACTGGTCTACAATATGATTCTGGCAATGTCCAACTTCAAAGTGGTTTAGCTGAAGTTAAAGCTCAGCTTTTAATGGCTGCCAATCCTTTCAATAGACCAGATCTTTTTGTAAAACTTGCAAATGATCCTAGAACTAAAAGTTTTTTGCAAGATCCAGGATATTTAAAACTTTTGGACACTCTTAGAAATAATCCAGATGCTACAGCTCAAATGTTATCGGACAAACGAATACTTACTACTCTTAGTGTATTATTGGACATGGATACTGATGTAGAAATGCCAATGCATAAGGATTCTGAATCAGAATCTCCAAAACCTAAACAGGAACCATCTAAACCTCAGAAAAAAGAAGAAGAAGATTATAGTACACCTCAAAAGCAAGCACAACGTGAGAAACAGTTGGGTAATGATGCTTATAAACAGAAAAAATTTGAAATAGCTCTTGAACATTATAATAAGGCAGTTGAATTAGATCCTACAGAAATCATTTACTTATTAAACATAGCAGCAGTATATTTTGAACAGAAAGAATATGATAAGTGTATTTCTCAGTGTGAAAAAGCTATTGAAGTTGGAAGAGAAAATAGAGCAGATTTTAAATTAATAGCTAAGGCATTTACTAGAATTGGACATGCATATAAAAAAATGGAAAACTGGAAACAAGCAAAGGTGTATTACGAAAAATCTATGTCAGAACACAGAACACCAGAAATTAAAACTCTTCTTTCAGATATTGATAAAATCATCAAAGAAGAAGAAAGGAAAGCATATATTGATCCAGTAAAAGCAGAAGAAGAAAAGGAACTTGGAAATGAAAAATATAAAGAAGGAGATTATCCAGCAGCAATAAAACATTATTCAGAAGCTATTAAAAGAAATCCTGATGATCCAAAATATTATAGTAATAGAGCTGCTTGTTATACTAAATTGGCAGCATTTGATCTCGGATTAAAGGATTGTGAGAAATGTGTAGAAATTGATCCAAAGTTTATTAAAGGTTGGATAAGAAAAGGTAAAATATTACAAGGAATGCAACAACAGGGAAAAGCTCTCACTGCTTATCAAAAAGCATTGGAATTAGATCCTTCAAATAGCGAAGCATTAGAAGGATATCGTTCATGTGCTGTTTCTGTTAGTTCTAATCCTGAGGAAGTAAGAAAGAGAGCAATGGCAGATCCAGAAGTTCAAAGTATATTACGAGATCCTGCTATGAGACTTATTTTAGAACAAATGCAAAGTGATCCTAGAGCTTTACAAGAGTAAGTATAGTTA